AAAAAATAAACCTTAGACTCAAACTTTGAAAGAAATGGTGGCCGTTACAACTTGTGTCTACAAAGGTATACTTTAATGCAGCGGTCCCCAACCTTTTTTGCACCACGGACCGGTTTATGTCCAACAATATTTTCACGGACCGGCCTTTAAGGTGTTGCGGATAAATACAACAAAATAAAACTAGTACCGGTACCAAAAAAAGAAGATTTATTCATAACACACATGAAAACACCCAGAAAAACAGAGTTAACAATAAAAACGATAACAAAATAACACTAAAAACCCTGAAAACCATACATTTCACACCTGAGCCTCAACTCTCGCAGCCCGGTATCGGTCCGAGGCCCGTGGGTTGGGGACCGCTGCTTTAATGCATCGGTTCAAACACTCGACTCCAGGTAAGGGACGCCCAGCTGGAAAAACGTCACGCAAGTCGAGTTGCCCGAGATTCACAGAATTTTACAGAAAATAGTACATTTTTGTGATTTATATCGTTGTCAAGGTGTTGTTGGATGTATTTGATAACATTATTAGAAAGCGCTGCATACATTTTAATTGCAGACAATATGCAATTGTATCATATTCAGATGACAACCAATTATATTTTTCTAAATCCATATGGCACAAAGTCATTAAAGTACTGGTATATCTTAAGGACAAATGTTTTTCCTCTGAAGTTGAGACTTGTATATGGCTCTGAAAATACTAGAAATGTGCTATGTAACCAGTTACTCTAGATGGCATGACATTGGCCTCTAACATTGCTGTGAGAATTCTTGAGAATTTTTTTTATCACAATATGTTCTTCAGTGTGAATCTTAAACAAATGTATAGGACTGGGTTGTTGTATTTATTATCAGGCTGGTCTAAAAACAGCCCCTTTTGTTAAGATTGAATTGGGTGATTGTGGAACTGTAGATGGTATCATATTGGTAGCATGCCCATGTGTTAGTACAGCAGAAAATAGTTATAGAATAGAAGCAGCATAACAGGAAAGGGTGCAGAAAGGCAGCATTAACTGCCGTCTGACACATCTTGATAAGTATAGGCAAAAGCAGAACTACGTAAGGAGCTTGACACGCTTAAAGACCCCACATATAACCACCCACGCTCATAGAGAATGAGGATGTGCGCAAAGAAAGGGAGACAGAGATCATGGGCAGAACCATAAAAGGAGAGGTGAATCGA